CGTGTGCCCCTCACCTCAGAGCAGCTGCACGACTGGTATGGTCGCCGTCAGGGTCGCGCTTGTGGAGCTCGGGGCTCTGCCGCTGGAGGTACTTCTGCTGACGTGACTGAAGCTAGGAGTGGTGCTGGTCCCGGAGGTGCTCGTACTAGAGGTACTGGAGCTGCTGGGGCTGGAGGTGCTGAGCCTGAGGGTGCTACTGCTAGACCCTGGGTCTGGGGGTGCTGCCCCTCGAGACACTAAGGCTGGAGACCCTAGGACTGGAGGTGCCGATTCGGGGGGTGCTGGTGCTGGTGGAGATGGCCCTGGAGGAGGTGGCGCTGAGGTTTCTAGAGCTGCTGGAGGTGCTGGAGCTGCTGGTGCTGGTGGCACTGCATAGCCGCGCCTGTTCTTTGCTCCACCATCTCCGTCGTCTCAGCCACCGTCTGACTCTATGCTTCGCCAGGTTCTTAGTCTCCCTTCGTCTACCGGTCTCCTGTTATAGCCTGGCTCACCGCTACCTGCTCCTTCTCCTTACACTGAGCAGAGACGGGGTCTTATTGAGCATCGTGAGCCTGCGTTGCGTCCTTTCTCACCTGACCGTTCTGGTCGTCCCGGTCGTCGTGTTCCTCGTTCACGTCAGCCGGCTGTCCCCGAACACCTCCGCAACGTATTCCCGTGCCGTCCCCTCCTGCGTCTCCTCTGCCTACCCGTGCTGCTCACCCTACTGTCACGTGTCTGCTAGCCACTGTTGTCACTGACCCGTCATTTGAGTCTGTTGTTGCATCTGCCTTAGTCGCTGAGCTTGTTGACTTTGCTGCTGCCTGTCATCTAGACTACGCCGCAAGTCTTGTTGCTAAGTCTGAGTTTGTCTATCCTCCTTCCGTCGGGGGTGAATGTGCTCTTGGCACGGACGTCCTTTAGGACAGGCACGAGGACCTTGAGTGTCTTCCAGCCGCTGCGCCTCATCTCGTGTCCATGCTGCTCACCCCTGAGGGAGACCCGGATGCTCCAGACATCCCAACCCCGCGCTCTTACGCTGAGGCGATCGCGGGTGAGTACTCCTCTCAGTGGGAGACAGCCATGGATGCAGAGATGGCATCCTAAAAGTCCACAGGCATTTACGTCGATGAGGTTCCCCCTCCTGGGGTGAACATCGTCAGTGGCATGTGGATTTTCAGGGTGAAGCGACCGCCAGGTTCTCCGTCTGTCTTCAAGGCTCATTACGTTACTCGAGGTTTCAGTCAGCGAGAGGGAGTTGACTTCTTCCATACCTTCTCCCCCACCCCGAAGATGACCACTCTTCAGGTACTGCTGCACGTTGCCGCTCAGCGTGACTACGAGCTTCACTCTCTTGACTTCAGCACAGCTTTCTTACAAGGCAGTCTGCACGAGGAGATCTGGTTGCGCTGCCCTCCTGGCTTCACTGGGTCGTTCCCTCCTGGTACCCAGTGGAGCCTCCGGCGGCCGGTCTACGGTCTCCGCCAAGCATCACGTGAGTGGCACAACACACTGAGGACGACACTTGCTGCTCTTGGTTTTGCTCTGTCGACTGCTGACCCGTCGCTGTTTCTGCGCACCGACACTTCGCTGCCACCGTTCTACATCCTCGTGTACGTCGACGAATTGGTCTTTGCCACTGCTGACACTGAGGCTCTCGTCCTGGTGAAATTGGAGTTGCAGAAGAGACACACGTGCACAGACATGGGTGAGCTGCACAGTTACCTTGGCTTTCAGATCACCCGGGACAAAGCACGCCGCACCATCACACTGACTCAGTCACACATGGTGCAGCAGGTCCTTCAGCGCTTCGGCTTCACCTGGTCTTCAGTACAGGCCACTCCTCTGGCTACAGGTTACCCGCTCTCAGCTCCACCTTCGGACGAGTCCGTCGAGCCGAGTGGTCCTTACCCATAGCTAGTGGGCTGCATCATGTACCTGATGGCCTGCACTCGTCCTGACCTTGCGTACCCTCTTGGCCTTTTGGCTCGCTACGTGGCTCTTGGTCGGCACCGAAAGGTGCACATCGATGTTGCTAAGAGGGTACTGCGCTACTTGTGCAGTACATCGGACATGGGGCTCGTGCTTGGAGGGCGGAGCCCAGTTGTCCTCACTGGGCACTCGGACGCTTCTTGGGTTGACGACCTGGCTACGCAGCGGTCGTCACAGGGTTACACCTTCAGCCTTGGCTCTAGCTCTGTTTCTTGGCGGTCTACACGCTCGTCCTCTACTCTCGGCTCAAGTTGTGAGGCTGAGATCTACGCCACAGCCATGCCTGCACAGGAGCTACGCTGGCTCACCTACCTGCTGACCGACCTTGGAGAGCGGCCTCGTTCTCCTCCAGTACTGTACGTAGACAACAAGGCCACCATTGCCTTGTGTCAGGAGCACAGAGTGGAGCACAGAACGAAGCACATCGCTCTGCGTTATTTCCTCGCTCGAGAGTTGCAGCAGCATGGTCAGCTTCGTCTTGCTCACGTGGCCACTCGGGCCAACACTGTTGATATATTCACCAAGGCACTTCCGTCTGGTGATCATCAACGTTTTTGTACTTTGTTAGGCCTTGTGCCCACGTTTCCTCACTTGCTGTAGACTTTGCTTGTACTGTGATCGATATATATACCTGCATGCTTGCTCTGCTAGGTAGAGATCACTGTGCTCTTCTTGTTGCATATATACCTCTGCATGTGAACTGGCCTTGTGGCCCTTTGCTTGTGCTAAGTGTGTGTGGTGACGTTGTGATCCACCCTTAGTTTGCTTTGCTTCTCTTGACTAGTCTTGTGACCCCTTGCTCTCCCCCACTTTGCCTATGGTGGTGTGTCAAAGTATATGCATGCTAGATATGTGTAGGCTGTAGTGGGGTAGCCAATATGGGGTACAGCCCCGTTTAGGGTTTCATACTTGTACCCTACTCTTCCATAGTGCATTCATTCCTGCTGCTAGATTCCAACACGTGGCTCCTTGTCGGCACCAAAAGGTGCACATGGATGCTGCTATGAGGGTACTGCGCTACTTGTGCAGTACATCGGGCATGGGGCTCGTGCTTAGAGGACGGGGCGACGTTGTCCTTACTGGGCACTCGGACGCTTCTTGGGTTGACGACCTGACTACGCAGCAGTCGTCACAAGGTTAAACCTTTAGTCTTGGCGGTCTACACGCTCGTCTTCTGTTCTCAGCTCCAGTTGTGAGGCTGAGATCTACGCCACAGCGATAGCTGCACAGGATGTACGCTGGCTCACCTACCTGCTGACTGACCTGGGAGAGCGGCCTCATTCTCCTCCGGTTCTGTACGTAGAGAACAAGGTCGTCATTGCCTTGTGTGAGGAGCACAGACTGGAGCACAGAACGAAGCACATCAGTCTGCATTACTTCCTTGCTCGAGAGTTGCAGTAGCGTGGTCAGCTTCGTCTTGCTTACGTGGCCACTCGGGCCAACAGTGCTGATTTATTCACCAAGGCACTTCTGTCTGATGATCATCAGCGTTTCTGCACTTTGTTAGGCCTTGTGCCCACGTTTCCTCACTTGCTGTAGACTTTGCTTGTACTGTGGTCTATATATGTGCCTGCATGCTTGCTCTGCTAGGTAGAGATCACTGTGCTATTGTTATTGTATATATATCTCTGCATGTGAATTGGCCTTGTGGCCCTTTGCTTGTGCTCAGTGTGTATGGTGACCAGGGCTTTTTTTGGATTTTCACTACTCGGATTTTTAGAGTTGTTTTTTTGGGAACTCTGAAATTCAGGGTTGATCATGAGCGTTACTCTGATTTGTCAGAGAAAACTTGACTTCTGAAGAAAAAGCTCATGACAGTCAGAAAACCAATTTTCCCAGTTGTGAATATAGGTACTTTCAGTTATCGAACTCACGCCTTCCACGCTCCTTCAAAACTGTTACCGTTGTGCTATGCGCTCACAACACAATGCCGGATGCACCATAAACGGTATGATTTCTTGTCCCAGCCATTTCACCACCAAGACAAGTGGGGGGCTCGGTCGAAGTTTTTGTACCCTTTACAGAGAAAAATGCATTCGCCATAAATTTACACTGGTCTATCAAAGTACCTAAAATCAAAACCCTGGCAAATCAGAGAAAACTTAATATCCAAAAAACATTACCTAGAAGCGTCAGAGTGACCCCCCCAAAACCACTCTGATTTTCAGAGAAACAGAGTAATTTACTCTGATAAAAAAACCCCTGGTGGTGACGTTGTGATCCACCCTGAACTTGCTTTGCTTCTCTTGACCGGTCTTGTGACCCCTTGCTCTCCCCCACTTTGCCTATGGGGGTGTGTCAAATTATACCGTATGTATGCTATATATGTTTTGGCTGTAGTGGGGTAGCCAATATGGGGAACAGCCTATTTTAGGGTTTCATACTTTACCCAACACTTTCCTAGTTGATCCATTTCTGCTAGTAGATTCTAACACTAGCCTGCAGTGGGGTACTCTATAGCGAGTATAACCCAAATTAGGGTTTCCTATTTGTACTTAACTGCCTGCTAGTGCAAACCCTCTTTTCTCTTCAAACTTTCTGCTACTGTTTCTGACATAGACCTCCCGCAGGAAGTATGTAGGCGACACCTTTAGCAAGCCCTTTTATCCTAGTGGTCTAGTGACTGGGATTCTGATAAGAAATGGGAAGTGAGATGTAGGAGGAGCTAGATGTGGGAAGTGATGGAGATTTCTTGTTGATTATCACCGACAAAAGAGTGGTGAGGTTGGGCTTTCGCACTTGGTGGTTTTTCTCACTCAGTTGAGTTTGTTTGTCGCCCGCTCCAACCAATGTTGAGGTGCGACTTCGCCAACTCCTCGTTGCCTCATCTCGCTTTCGCCCCACCCATATTCCCGAAATAGTTTTTCTTGCCTTTCGCCCGCACGATCAAGGCCCTTCCCTATTACGGTAATGGCAAAAAACCAGGCTTACCTCGGGTTTTAAAATGAAGAAACAAATTAGGTCCATTATGGACCACCAATTATACCGTATATGAAATTTCACCTTGCGTCATCGCTAAAACAAGACCCCTCTCATACCCACTTGCTCACAGCCTTCACCGCCGTCTTGCGGCGGTCTCCCTCTGTTTTGTTCCTCCTCAACTCCCCTCCCATCCACTCCTCTTCATCATCATCATTATCATCATCATCTTCTCCCCCTCTGTTCACCAAATCCATTTCCTGCCCAAGCACCACCTGACCACTGCCACCACGCACAAGCATTACCCCATCACCATCAAACCCTCTGCTGCCACCGTCCCCATTCCTGCTGCTGTAAATCGCACCCTTGGTCACAGGAGCTCCTGCCGCGTACCGAATCGGCGTAACCTCTCGGTATGAGCTTGCCGGTGGAAGGGGTGGGGGCGTGTGCATGCTGAAGAGTCGTGCCGAGGAACCTCTGCTGCCAGTGCCAAGCGCACTTGCAGAAGGAGCAGCAGTGGGAGCAGCAGTGGCAGGCCGTATGATTACATGCTCACTCATGCTTCTGTGCATCGGCCTTGGGTGAAGGCCGATAGGAGGCGAGGGATGGCTGCCTACCCAAGCGATGTGCATCTTAGTAGTGTCAGCAGCAGCAGCAGCAGCAGCAGCAGCAGCAGCAGCAGCAGCAGCAGCAGCAGCAGCAGCAGCAGCAGTGGCAGTGGAAGTGGAACGGTAAATGCTGGTCTGGGCAGCATTTACATGCCTGACTGCACCCCACCGAGCGTCTGACTCGTACGGCCCTTGCGAACCCTCCGCACCTACTCCAGCGACCACAGCAGCAGCAGCCACAATCCCCTCGTCCCCAAACGCACCAGCAGCAGCAGCAGCAGCAGAAGGACCAACTCCTGCCCATGAGACAGGTAGTGATGATAGGGATCTCCGTGCAGGGGTTACCCCTCCGCCTCCTCCCACCGCCACCACTGCTGCTGCTGACAAGTTCCTCCCACTGCTGCTCCTCCCAGTGATGCTACTGCTGCTGCTGCTGATGCGAGGAAAAGCTGCTGGCTGCATGGCAGAAGCAGAAGAAGAGTGAGTGGTTGTGGGGTAGAACGGAGGAGGCGTGCTGTCAGGAGTGCTTCTGAACCGCGCTGAAGCAGTGCCTTCCGTGAATGAACCAAAACTGCCTTCCCTCCGCATGCCAGCACCATCCCACTCCTGCATTGCGCCCATGCTACTCTCCCTCCTCAGCCCTGCACTCTTCTCTCTCCCGAACCCCAAACTACTCTCCCTCATCGACCCCACACTCCCCTCCCGCCTCAGTTCCACACTGTTTACCCGCCTCGTCTTAGCACCATCACCGCCACTCTCCCTAGGCACCAGCCGAGCCCCATTATCTGTTAAGAAGTCGCAGCTGATTTCTCGCCAAGAGCTGAAACTGCCACTCCCGAATGACTGAACACCGCCCTCCCTCCTCTCCCGCCGCTCGCCCCCCCCTCTTGCTGCTACAGAGGCTGCTGCTGCTGCTGCTGCTGCTGTAGCAACAGTGCCTGTTTCCACAGCTTGGACCATGCTCAGCCTTCTGCCACTGAAGGAGCGCGGTTCATGCGACACTGATGATGCGCCACCACTTGACGACCCTCTTCGCAGAGAGCGCCCGTGGGACGACCCTGCACGAGAGGCCACTCCATCGTCACCACAACCACCACAACCACGATCAGTAGCAGTACCAGCAGCAGCAGCAGCAGCAGCAGCAGCAGCAGCATCACCACCACCCTTGCCACCGCCGCTACTGCCACCACCAGAACCACCACCACCATTACCACCAACACCAGCACTCTCTCTACCATTAGCAATACTGAATTCAAATCCCTCACTCCCACTCCTGCTTCCCCTTCCCTCATTTTCCCACTTCTCCTTCTCTTCCTCGCTTTCCCCCTCCTCCCCTTCCTTGCTCCTACCCTCCTCATCCTCCTCGTCATCTTCATCTTCCTCATCCTCCTCCACCTCCTCCTCCTCCTCCTCTTCCTCATACTCTTCCTGCTCTATCTCCCTCTTCCGCTCAGCCAGCCATTGATTAGCCCAGAAGCAGCTGCTGATGCCCATCCTGTCTTCAAGGGAGCGGAGGAAGAGAGGCGTGGCAGTATGCCACTCGCCAAGGTCGTCCAACCCCTCCTGAGCGCCACAATGTTGCTGGGTGGATGACCGTTGAGTCAAGCCGGTAGGGTTACCAGCAGCATAAGCATACGCACCACCACCAGCAGCAGCACTGGCAGCAGCAGCAGCAGCAGTGGTAGCTCTTGGCGCAGCACCTGGAAGGAGGCAAGGCGAGATGGGCCGACCAACTGCCTCATGCGTATTCTCATGCCTAGACTGCCCCCCCTGCTGCGGCTTCTGCTGGCGCTGCTGCTGCTGCTTCTGCTGCCGATGCTGATTCACACGCAGAGGCGAATTGGCATCTTTGCTGCAGCTTTGCCGGGGTGAAGCAGACTGTGCAATGTGCAGAGGCGAGCGGATGAGCGGCAGAGGGGAGTGGGAGCGAGGGGTGCGCGCTACAGGAGCCGTGGCATGCCTCTGCACGGGAGCAGGGCTTCGAACCCGTTCGGGAGTCCGGGATGGGGTTGTGGCGAAGGGGGAGCGCGCAAGAGGGATGCAACGCGTGGGGAAACGAGGAGACACAGGAGGAGAGAGCGCAACACCAGGACCTAAAGCCATCTCGGGTGTTGACTCACCTGCTGCTGCTGCTGCTGCTGCTGCGTCCTCCATTTCTCCTCGCTCTCCTCCTCCGTTCCTCCATCCCGCCACACTCCCGTGTCCCTGCACCTCAGCACTCTCCGGCGTGTTGCTGCCTCTGGTGCCAAACCTGCTGCTGCTGCTGCTGCTTCTGCTTCTGCTGCTGCTCCTGCTGTAGCTTTCAGGCCTGTCTTTCCAACTGTGCTGCCTGCTCCTATCCCGAAAGCTCCCATGCTCCCGCTCCTGTTGCCTTTCCTCTCCTCGCACCACCTCAAACCCCTCAAAACCTGCTTCGAACCCTCCCGCTCCAGCTCCCCCTCTCCCTGTTGATGCTTCTCCTCCTGCTCCTCCTGCTGCTGCCGACTCGTCTGCCCTCCCGTGTCCCCTGTCTTTTCCCCCAAGCCGGTCCGGACTAAGATACTTCAACACAGCTGCAAGGTTCTCACTCTTGTGCCTCTGAAGATACTTCACCCCCTCTTTCACTCCCTCCCTCACTCTTCCTCCTCTCGCCCCGCTCCCCTCCTCCCCTCTGTGCTCCCACCCCCCTCTCCTCCCCCCTCTCAACCTTCTGTTGGCCTGTTCCCTGATTGAATCCACGGAGAGAGGGGAGCGCGGGAGTGTGGGGGGCGAGGTGGGGGGAAGGGAGGAGGGGAAGTAGGGGGAGGAGGGGGAGGCGGGAGGATGCCGCGGGAAGGAGGGCTGGGCGGAGGGGCCGGGGCTATGTGGAACGGATGGGGTGCGCGGGAGAGGAGTGGCAGGGTGGGACATGGGCAGGTGGGAGCGGGGCGGCAGGGTGGAAGAGAGGTTGGTGTTTGGGACGGAGAAGGCAGTACGAGTGACAGCATTGCTGGCAGCAACGGCATTGCCAGTAACAGCAGGACGACCCGGCCCTTCAGCACTGACAGTGGTTGAAGCATCCGCACCCGCACTGGAAAGTCTTCGAAGAGCAGTTGGTTCGTTCGATCCCAAGGGTTCCAGAAACGTGAACTCAGCAGCAGCCAGCACACCGCTACCCCCACCACCACTCCTGCCAGCCAGCCCTCTCCCACTGCCGTCACTGGCACTGGCGCTGCTAATGCTGCTCCATCCAAAGCTGCTACCGCCGCTGCTGCTGCTGGTGCTCGATCTGCTGCCTCTCACGTTCGTCCTGCCGCCACCGCCACCGGCGCCGCTGCTGCTGTTGCTGAGTGCGATCCACCTGCTGCTCGCCTCGCTTGTCACCCCCACCGTGCTCCTCCCACTGCCCGTCGTGCTCCATGCTCGGCTGCTGCTGCTGCCGATGCCAGTGCCATGCCCAAACCCAACCCCACTCCCAATGCCGCTGCCGCTGCTGCTTCTGCTGCAAGGGGCGTTTCTGGAGGCGATGCCATTCGTGCCGCTGCAGCTGTTGGCCGTTGTGATGCTGATGGTGCTGCAGCTGCTGGTGTTGCTGCTGCGGCGGGTGTGGCTGCTTGTGTTAGCGGGCAATCCATCAGCAGCAGCAGCAGCAGCAGCAGCATCAGCACAATCAGGAGCAGAAGTAGCGCTATTAGCACAACCACTAGAATCTTCTCGGCTCATCTCCTCCTGCCTAATAACGCCACTGCCTGAACTCGCTTCCCCACCACCCCTCTCCTGCCCCCCCTTCTGGCCCTCGGTCAGCAACCTTGTTGTGCCACTCTCGCCGCCACCTTTCACGTGCCTGTCGCTCCTGCTGCTGCTCTCAACCATGCTGTTTCTCGCCTTGATGCCGCTGCTGTTAGTGTTTACAACACTGTTACTATTGTTGCAAATCTTATTACTGTTACTGTTCCAAATTCCGGTAACTGCAACACGCAGCCCATTCAAGCTCGCGCGCGGCCCTTCCCCGTGCCCGCGCCCCCGCCTGCGCGTCCTCCCACCCTTGGTGCCACCCACGCCCACCTTCTCCTGCCCCGCCAGCTCCACAACCAACTGAAACTTGTGCCCTTCTGGCGCGCAACGCGACACGCGGAGCAATTGCGCAATCCCCTTCCGCAACTCATCCTCTCTTTCTTTTCTTTGCGCATTTCCCCCCTTCGCTTGCTGATTCGACTCCCCGCCTCCGCCTTCGCCTGCTTCCGCTGCTGCTATTGCTGCCGCGGCAATTGTCTCCGCGGAGCCCCACCGCAGCCCTGCCTGCGTGTACTTGGCCCAAATTCGTTCGAGAATGCCCGACTGGAATATTTCGCATTCGGGCAGCCAGGGTTCCGGGTGCGCGTTGAGGTGAAAGTACAGCTGCCACGAGGCGTGCGCCTGGGCCGCCAGCGCAAGCGCATGCGCGGATCCGCAGACGGCTTGCGCGGGGAGCCGAGGACGCGGCGACGGGCGGAAAACTATCCGGAACGAAGCGCGAGCGCGAGGCGACGGACGGGGGCAAGATTGGGGAGAGGTATCGCCCGCGTGGTTTCGTCGATCCCTTTGGTCTTCTTTTATCGCACGGAAATGATCGCGGTCCTCGCGATCTTCGCGACCCTCGCGATTCTCGCGATCGGCCGAACACGAATCCGCTGCTTCGCCTCCTTGATCCGCGGAATTATCATCCCGCACCACAAGCCACTCCTGCAGCATTTCCAGTGTCCCCGGCAGGACCGCCGGAAGGTCTTCGATGCTTTCTAGCTTCGACGCTAACGGATCGTCTCCCGAAATGGCTATCAGCTTCCACGTCAGTCTTTCGTCGATCACTAGCGGAATCGCGCCGAGCGGTTTGACCGCGTATACCTGGCCAACCCGCGCCGGCTGCTGCCCTATTTCTATCACCTCAATCGGAGCAGCGGATAGCGAGTCAGGACCGTTAGGTCCGTGGTCGTCTGATCTGCTTGTAGCGAGTCGCTCCATCTCGAACCGCTCGAGCAAAGAGAGCTCCAGATCTTGCTGCTTCTGCCAACCGAGCCGCGAGTCAGGTAAATCACACGACCAATCATCCGTTGCTGCCACGTCATCCTCCACACTCTCTACGACTCTTCCCTTCGCCTTCCCCAGCCCGGTACCGCCTCTGAAACCCCACCCGCTTTTTCCCGAGCGCTTACCCCCGTCCCCTCCCGCTGCGGACTGCCGCTGCTTGTTGCAGCTTGATCGATCACCGCTTCTCTGCCCTCCTTCTCCACTTCCTCCTCCGTCGCCGGCGCCGCCGGGGCCACCGCCGTCGCCGCTAGGATCGCGGGATGCTGAGGTTCTGGGAGCAGGAGGACGTCCGGCGGAACGATTGACGGGAGCGGAGCAGGGGCAAGTGGAAGCGGAAGCGGAGGCGGTGCGGGTGTCGGAGGGTGCCGCGCGGAACAGTGTGGACTCGTCGACTGTCTGCGGCAGCACACCGTGGTTCCACAGCACGTTCCCCGCGTAATGCGCTGGTACTTGTGCTACCGCCTCGCATGCCGCGCGCTTACGCGGGGCCCATGTTACAGTGGCGGTCGGACTGTCGGAATGCCGCGCCGCGGCGAGTTCGTTGTCGCCGTCGAGATCGCCATCGTGTTTATTTCCGTCGCCGTTGTCGCATGCGATGTCGTTACTACCCTGCAGCAGCTGCACCTGCATCTGCGACGCTGCGAATCGCAAAGGCGTGTAGTCCTCGTCGCGCGCGATCTCCATCTTCGCCCACGTCGCTACGGGCGTCGTGCACACGAAATGCACCAGCGTGTCGCACGCCGCGTACAGCGGAATGTGGTGCCACGGCGACAGCAATCTCCCCGCACCATCCGCGAACATCATGCGGTAACCCAGACTCCCCGCTTCCCCGAACTGTGCCGTGCGCACGCCCCCCCATGTTGCGTCCGGCGTGCGCGGTCGCTGCAGCACGAATGGACGCGTGGTGCGCGGAGGCGGAGGGGGGAGGGTGGGCACGGGGGGAGGGGACGACGGGCGGGATAGAGGATGATGCGCTGGCGGGTGAGGGGAGGGGAGACCCGCCGCCGCGGGCTGGCACGAAAGGATAGCGGGCGGCATGGAGGGCAAGCCTCGGAGTGACTCTGACTGGGCCGATGAGCAGATGGATCCCACGGAAGCCAGTTGGAGCCTCAGGATTGGCTACGTTTAAGGGCAGTATCGAGGTGCGGAGAACGGTTCGGATTGGTGGCCGCCAACTCGCATTCTAGATCGCATCGTAGTGCAAACTTCACCTTTCCAATGACCACTCGAGTGCATTTTCATTTTTCGTCAGTCGAGCGAAGCGCTCCTGGAACCCGCAGGCGAGTATCTACAAATACTAGTAGAGCTGAAATGTCCTATGCCGGCCTCATGTGCCTTGCCGTTCTACGTAGAACATGAAAACGATCCATGGCGGAATGGATCGGGACGCGGAGCTAAGGCGTGTGACGAGAAGAGATCCTCTTTTCGTTCTTACGGACCGCTCATGTGAGGCAGCTACTCCACAGTGATGTGATTGGCGGTGCGAGCTTCATCAAAACGAGTTTTGGATGCTTCAAGGTCTCGAAAAACGAGATGCCTGCTACAAGCCAAATCTCGTTCACCCTACTGGTTGCGACGGGAAGCGTTTTGGGGTTGTGGGATCAGGACGGGAGACTTGGGGAGTTGGTTGGCTGACTCCGCATGCCGAATGTAGTGGAAAAAGCTGATTGCTTGGACGAGGACATAGCCAGGCTTCGAGAAATTTACCGAGAAGTCACTAGGGCTCCTCTGGCAAATGAATAACGTGTAGTCCAAAAAAGTCAAACTAGAGACAGTGACCAGATTCACAAGCACATTCTGCCAGGACACAATTCTGCCATTCCCACTTGATTTTTTCATGGGCTGAGGCAGAAATTTCAGTAAGTTTTTATGTTATGTAGGAGTTGTGTAATAAATATAACATTTTTGAATGCATTAACGAATTTATATATATGCACAGCTAACAATATTTAGAAAAACGCATACACTCTAAACAGAATGTGTATATACATCTTATATATTTAAAAAATCTCATAATTTATTAAAGCTAAACAAAGATATATTAAGAGGTGTTTTTAAACTAATATCAAATAAATAAGTAAGATTTTCACTGTATATTGTAAAACATTCAATCGATTGTCTGCTGTATTTGTCTAGAACAAATAAAATCAAGAAGAATTGTTTTTGACTATATAACTTATTTAATATCTTTAAATTGACTTATTTTATCTAAATGTCTATCTCTTAATATTATCATATCAGATTCAATCTCCGTAAAGAAATTTTGAATACAAAAGTAGTTTGTGTTTCTCTGCGTAATTTAAAATATTTATAGAATAAAAAATTGGCTTCCTTGCATTTGTTATACCGATTGATTTTGTTAATAAACTACTTTATATTTAGTCATTATTTTGTTTTTTTTCAAGGATAATGCTGGTTTGGTGGTCATATCAAACTATATATTTTGGAGCATTTTATATGATACAGTATAATTCAATTCTCCGTACTATCAAAAGTGGATAGATAAGATTATCTGAATTCTACTCCCCTCTAAATTTGCTACTTTGTTTATTTTTTTCGTGTGGAAATGTATGCAAAACACATTAATCTTTTTCTAAATGCTATTCATTATCTGTATACAGTTGAAGCTGGTAAACTATTAGCTCAGTCAAAATCAATGGCATATTGTGCGAATAATTGCAGATTTGGGGCTGAACGGATTTGCGGTTCCGCATCTGGGATGCCTCGCCTCGTCTGTTCCGTCACAGTCCATCCGACAACGTGGTCCTGGGATGTTTGCTTCTGGTCAGATGGGATATGGATGGATGGTGGTGCTGCTCCGGAAGGGGCACTGGTTGGGCAGGGCAGAAGGGGAAGGAAGGCGGACCATTCAGATGGAAGGAGAGGCGACAAAGAAGAACCACGTCGAAGCCAGGAGGAACGAATGGTGTAAGTGTAAATGCCAATAATGATCTCAATGTGTAAACTTTGGAATTACCGTAGCATGCTTTGTCCCACAGTGAACACCATATGACCGCGTTGTTGTTTTCCTTCGTAACAGCTTGACCCTCACTGACCAGCGTTGTTGTTGATTTGCGTGGCATGAGAGGTGAGACTGATTTGATTCGGGTGAAACTGACCTGGCCTGTGATGCCTCACAGGTTGGATATACACCCTGTTTCGCTCTACAATACGCTCCATTATACACAGTATAACGTTTAGAAGACGACCACTGCGTCAAAGTTAGCTTTGTCAAACACGTTAGAATCAACTCTGTATCAGTGCGATTCAAGGAGGTGAGATACGTTCAATAAAGGTCTGCTAATTTAAAAAAAAAAAAATGAAACATTGTCTCGCTAGTGTCACCTTTTACGGACAAATATAATAAGGTCCTATGGGTGGCGCAGCAATATCAGCCCATTATGTCTCACACCAACTATAATTTGTTCCCTTCTTGTACGAAATGCAAAACGCGGAGCAAATGCGCATCCCCTTTCGCAACACATCATCGCTTTATCTTGTTTGAGCATTCCCCCCATTCACTTGCTGATTCGACTCACCGCCCCCGCCTTCGCCTGCTTCCGCTGTTGCTAATGTTCTAGTAGAAATTGTTTCAGCAGAGCCCCAATGCAGCTGCGTGTACTTGGCCCAGATTCGTTCGAGGATCCTTGACAGTAATATTTCGTATTCGGACAGCCAGGGTTCCATGTGTGCGTTGAGGTGAAAGTACAGCTGTCACGACGCGTGCGCCTGCGCTGCCACCGCATGCGCGGATCCGTAATTGTCTAGCCTGCAGTGGGGTACTCTATAGCGAGTACAACCCAATTAGGGTTTCCTATATGTATGCCAAATGCTGCTAGTGCAAACTTCCTCTCTTCTTCATTCCTCATTCTTCACATGCTATCAGAGCATTTACGCTCCTGGCATGTGGACCCACCCAACTGCTTCCGCTGCTACTCTGTGTGCTGCACGCCCCGTGGCGTGCCCCTCGCGCGACCCTTAGCGGGCCCGTCGCGACCCCTTGCGGCCTCGTCGCCGCCCTTCTCGGCCCCTCGCGGCCCCTTCGCGGCCCCGTCGCCGCCCCTAGCGGCCTGTCGCCGCCCTTCCAGGCCCCTCGCGGCCCCTTCGCGGCCCCGTCGCCGCCCCGATCGGCCCCGTCGCCGCCTCCAGCGGCCTCGTCGCCGCCCCTTCGCGGCCCCGTCGCCGCCCCTAGCGGCCCGTCGCCGCCCATTCAGGCTCCTCGCGGCCCCTTCGCGGCCCCGTCGCCGCCCCTATCGGCCCCGTCGCCGCCTCCAGCGGCCCCGTCGCCGCCCCTAACGGCCCCGTCGCCGCCTCCAGCGGCCCCGTCGCAGCCACTTGCGGCCCCGTCGCCGCCCCTTTCGGCCCTGCCTCGACCCTGCCCCGGCCCCGCCCCGGCCATGCTCCGTCGCCTGTCGCGGCACACCGGGGGCACGTGCACCGCCCCCCCCCCCCTCTTTTTCCGTCGCCCGTCGCGGCTCCCTGGGGGGCCGGGCGACCTGGGGGGGGGGGGGGGGGGGGGGGGGCGAGCGTCGCCCCTTCCGCCGCCTGCTTTGGCGCCCTGGGAGGCCGCGTGTCGGCCCCCCCTTCCCCCCCCCCCCCCCCGTAACCTCCCTACCCGCCATCCTGCCCTGCCCTGTGTTAGGGTTTGGGGGTGGCGAGTAGGGGGTGGCGGGTGTGTGGTCTCCCCTGCTCCTCCTCCTCCTCTGTCTCCCACTGCTGCAGCTGCTCCTGAGGGGGGTCGGTGTGTGGGAGTCGACGGAGTGGTGCTAGGGGGTGGGGTGTGAGTGAACCTAGGGTGCAGCAAGGGGTGTGTGAAAAGGGGGTTGACGGGGGAGTGGAGCTAGGGGTGCAGCAAGGAGTGTGTGAAAAGGGGGTGGGACAGTTGGGGGAGGTTGAACGGAGGCTGTCGTCGTGTCGTCAACGGCACCAGTAGTCCGGGGCGCTGCTCCGGTAGCCCAGTCGTAGCCTGCTGCGCCAGTCGCCCGTGGGTCCGTTGCTCCTGCCGCTCGTCTTAGCCGCGGAGCCAGTTACTCCAGTAGTCCAGGGCGCTGTTCCGGTAGCCGCTGTGCCAGTGTGACTCCTGTTGCCCGTGTGTCTGCAGCTTCAGCCGTCGCCTCCTATCTCCTCTCCTCTTACAGTCTCGCCTCCTCCTCCTCACTTGCCCTTTGTGAATGCCTCTAGCTTTGCTTGTCCTTGTGACCCTGCTCTATGCCTGCTTGCTCATTGTGCTGATTACACCCCACTTTGGCTATGGGGGTGTGTCAGAATGTTATAATTGTCTAGCATGCAGTGGGGTACTCTATAGCGAGTACAACCCAATTAGGGTTTCCTATATGTATGCCAACTGCTGCTAGTGCAAACTTCCTCTCTTCTTCATTCCTCATTCTTCACACTTGTGCGGGGAGCCGAGGACGCGGCGATGGGCTGTCCAAAACGAAGCACGAGGCGACGGACGGGGGCAAGATGGGGAGAGGTATCGCCCGCGTGGATTCGTCAATCCCGTTGGTCTTCTTTTATCGTACAGAAATGATTGAGATCCCATCGATCTTCGCAACCATCACGATTCTCGCGATCGACCGAACATGAATCTACTGCTTCGCTCCATATAATTGAGATTGCCATTCAGCCCCAAGCAATCAGCGACCGTGATGGCCAACTCGTTGTCCACACAAAGGACAGTCGGTGTTCCATCATCGAGCAGCTAGAACTCTACAAGAAGGAAGCGAAGACGTTGACCGTCCTTGCCGGCTTCCTTGGCCGCGACGTACTTCGACTCGGTCGACGAGAGCGTCGCGCACTTG